ATAGTTCATGAGAGATACATCTTCATCTGTCATCTAAGAAGCCAATAAATAATGTGTAAAAATTATATATTAAGAGAGCAATATAAGAATATTTGAGAATATGAAGACACGTTGCAGAAAAGCATTAAGAGTCAATATTATTTTCCTTTGGGAACAAGAGTGAAGAATGAGGAGAAATGGGGCAGTGGTAGCATTTTAATACTATTTGATTTATTTTACCCAGATTCATGTTGATAAAAATTTTTTTTTATAAATTTAAAGATGATAAACGCCAGCACTGTGCAAGATGGATGGAGGAAAAGAAAGAGACCGTTTTATTTATACATTTTCTATTTTTCCCTTCTTAGGACCTGGCAAATCTCAGTACCAATGTCAACAGATGCAATAAAGCTGATCAAAGGAAATAAAGCGGCTTTTCAAGATTGCTTTATTGCAGATTTGCTTTTCGTGCTGACGTTTCCTTTGTTGACAATACCTGAGATTCCTGGCTTTTTACCAATCTCTTCACCGCGTGGTAGTCAGTTAATATCAGACTGGTATGCTTGCTATGCCGCATATGCTATTGCGGTAGCCGATATGGAGACCTTTCAAACAAATGATTCATTTCGTACTTGGACCAGAATCAGGGTGCCTCCAAACATTCTGACTGACGATGAAAGACACAGTGTGTCTGATGCGAAGCTATCCCAGGACGGAATATTTTTTCTAATACGTGGTGCTCTTTACCTAAAAAATTTTACTGCATTTACAAGACTGGGCAGCAATGAAAACCTTCCTGAAGGTGGAATTATTGGCATTACATCAAGAAAATGGTGTTGGTTGAAATATTACTTGAAGGTTAGTAAAATATCATATATATATATATATTTTTTTATTTATTATACCTACACATTTAGATATATTTACTATATCATTTGATTCAGTGATATATAATAGACTTTTATTAAGATATATAAGATATATTATGCAGCTTTCTGCAGCTATTTTATTTATGAATGTAAATAGCTCTATCTTCCTGACCTAACTCCTCAGAGGCCTCTTTACAGAGATGCACCTCCAACAAAAGAGAATGAAATGAATCTGATATATTATTATGTAGAGTCAGTTAGTCATATTATGGGAGATTTGTTTTACCTTGACATTGGCAAAAGGTCAAAACAATTATTTTCCCCAAACAAAGACTCCATGTGTTCTCAACAATGAATTAACTCTCATTTATGACAATATAATGACTAAGATATCCTTAAGCTACTGCATTACAAAACATCTTAAATGCTGTATAAAAAATTTTAAACCTTCTTTTAAGCACGTAACTGGACTTATGTGGAAGTAAGAGAAATTCTGAGAAGAAAGAGGGCATCCTGGAGCACTAATCCAGAGACATAAGCAAATTCCAAAATCTCAGCCGCCCAAAGGCCATGTGCTGATCCCAGATGTTTAGACCTCTGGTACTTGAAAATAAAACCTTGGACCTGAACAAGGTAGGGTATCTGATAATTTCTTGAGTAAAACAAGAACATCAGAAATTTCCCAACATAATTAAATCTGCCTCAGCTTTAACTCACAGATAGCAAGGAAAGGTCTACCTTTAGAATTCATAATCAGGTGCCAATCCAAATGCACTTTGGGGCACAGATGCCTATGTGGTTCAAAAAAAGAAAGCAACATTAAGCCTGGTGCCAAGCAGAAGCAAATACAAATCCTTTCCAGAGTAATAAACCCTAAAGTCAGGCTTTGAAATAATATTNATTAAAGATTTTCTAATTAATTTCAATTTTGTCACAGACTATCAAAGAAAGAAGTAGCATGATAATCTGGACAAGAAATGAAGTTTATCTTGGATATACTTCTCTTAAATTTGTCAAAATAATGACTACTGAAAAACTGAGGAGAATTCTAAATATATCACCAGCTGCTACTCTAACTCTACATAATGTTGAGTATACAGGCCACCCTTTGGAACTCGCCTTGTTATTAAATTACTGCATTACATGCAATGTCATTAAACAAATTTACCTAGTGATGCATAATGAAGACACAAAAGAATGGGTGCACCAAGACTTTGCATTAAATGTCACATCTGACAGTTTTATAACTCCATATTTTCTCAATTCAGCAATTCCACAACTAATACTATGGGACAAACATAGGATCTACTATTGTTATCACAATTTCACTGATACTGGAGTTATACAAACACCTACAGAATCTGGAAATCTATCAAGATTATCACATGACAGCATTATCCATGAGGTTTTTATGGGTGAGATATTCTCATTCTGCAAAAATTATCCTAGATTCCATCATAGACATATTTCTTAAGAAGATGTAACAATTTTAAATGCACAAACAGGATGCTTTTGATAGGTTTATGTGCATTCTTACCACCTAAATATAAATATCAGATTCTACTAATGTTAATTATGGTCTCACACAGCAAAATGGCAAACTCAGGGTTTTTTTTTCAGAGGTTCATTTTGGTCAATCGGCAGATACTGTGTAAGCAAGTTATGTGTGCATTTTCAATGCAAGAAGGAATATGGTGTTGCGTTAGTTTCCTAGGGCTCCTATAACAACATACCACAAACTGGGTGTTTGTCTGTTTGTTTGTTAGACATTTATATAACTTACCCACCAATTAGTCTAGCATCCCCCTGGCTTTATATTGGGTTGTCGAAAAAGTCATGACGCATTTTTGCAATGAAAAACATAGAAAAAATACGTCATGACTTTTCCGACAACCCAATACATAGTTGTTGCAACATTATTGACTATATCCTCTATGCTGTATGTTATATCCCCATGACTATTTTGTAACTACCAATTTGTATTTCTTAATCCCTTCACCTTTTTCACCCAGCTCCACAACCCCCCTCCCCTCTGGCAACCTTCAGTTTGTTCTCTGTATCTATGAGTCTGTTTCTGTTTTGTTTGTTCATTTATTTTGTTCTTTAGANTAATATAATGATAAAAGGGTCAATGCATCAAGAAGACATAACAATCCTAAATATGTATGCACCTAACAACCGAGTTTCAAAATACATGAACCAAAATTAAGTAAATGGATAAAAGAAATAGATAAATCCAAAAATTTATTGGAAGGTTTTTTGGAAACACACTCCTGTTTTAGTAATAAATAAAAACAAGTAGACAGAAGATCAGCAAGGATGTAAAAAAATAAACAACATAATGGGTCAGAAAAACTATCACCCATCAGCCTAAACCAGACTGCCACCTTTTTTGTAAACAGTTTTATTGGAACACAGCCATGCTCATTTGTTTATATATATTGTCTCTAGATGCTTTTGCACTATAACAGCACTGATGAAACTTTACCACAGAGACTATGTTGCCACTCAAGCCAGGTGGCCCCAGGCAGGGCACAGACTACAGCTGGATGCCTTCCAGGAGACCCAGATCTGGCACGCCCAGTAGCCATCTTCAAACAGAGCCAGAGCATCACACAGCAACCTCCAAGGATGACAAAGCCAAAGGGCAGACTGGGCAAGCACCAGAGCCCTACTAAACAAATCCTTTTCCATAGGGTCAGCCCCAGCACAGCAGCTCCTCCACTGTAGTAACAGCAATCCTCACAACCTATCAGCTTGAGGGTCAGTTCCTCTCATTGATGTGCAAACAGCAACCAAGACTCAACTACAATAGGAGGGCACACACAACCCACATAAGGAACACACCTGCAGCACACGGCTCAGGTGACCAGGGAGACTGTGGCATTGGGCCCCACAGAACACCTACTACACAGGCCACTCTACTAGGACAGGGAGGCACAGCAACCCTATATAATACATAGAAACAAACACAGGGAAGCAGCCAAATGGAGAGACAAAGAAACATGTCCCAAATAAAAGAACAAAGTTCTAGAAGAAGAACTAAACAAAATGGAGACAGGCAATCTACCAGACGCAGAGTTCAAAACACTGGTTATACTGATGCTCAATGATCTCAGGGAGAACTTCAACAAAGAGATAGGAAACATAAAACATGGCGATACAAACCATAAAAAAGAACCAATCAGAAATAAAGAATGTAATCACTAAAATACACTAGAGGGAATCAACAGTAGATTAATCAGAGGATCAAATCAGCGATTTAGAAGAGAAGGTAGCAGAAAACACCCAATCAGAACAGCAAAAAAGAAAAGAGAATCCAAAAAAAATGAGGATAGTTGAAGGGCCTCTGGGACAACATGAAGTGTCCCAACACTGACATCATAGGAGTATCAGAAGGAGAAGAGAGAGAGCAAAGAATTGAAAACCTATTTGAAGAAATAATGACAGAAAGCTTCTCCAACCTGGAAAAGGAAATAGACATACAAGGACAGGAAGTGCAGA